TATCAAAAATACGAAATATCGAAATAAGATAGTGAGATGGCTTGTTGTGATATAGTACAGTCAATCTGTAGGTTGAGTGATGAAAAAAAAACCTAAAGGGTAAGTCTTGTTTTTTCTGTTGCCAAATGACGTCAGTAAGCCACCTTGGCGATGGGCATGTTCAACTCGTAGGCGTTTTTTGAAAAACTCAAAAAAACCGTCAAAAATTTTTTGAAACGCATTTTTCTTGTTTTGTATGCATTTTAGAAACTTTTTTTTTACCATAATTGTAGAGGGCGTTGAGTGCTAGAATTTATGTCATTGTTGCAATCTCGTACAACAAAAAATGCGCATTGTAGGTGGCGCTAAAGTCTCAAAAAAGTGTTTTTTCACTTTTACACCCTAAAAATATCATTTTAATGGAAAACTTTAAATGGCAAAGTTGTTTCGTACATAATTACCAACAACTTTTGTATAAACAATATTTTTGTATTACTTACCGTTTTCAAGTTATAAATTGCGCAGGTATGAAAAATCCAATAGAGCGGTTTTGGGCAGTTCAAGTACACATTTGCAGTGCACATTTCAATGTACGTTTTTACTATTTTTTTTTCAATCATGAAAAAAAATAAAAATAAAACTATTTTTTTTTTCATTTTATTTTGTTTTTCAATCATGAAAAAAAAATAAAAAATAGTAAAACGTACATTGATATGTGCACTGCAAATGTGTACGTGAACTGCCCAAAACCGCTCTATTGGATTTTTCATACCTGCGCAATTTATAACTTGAAAACGGTAAGTAACACAAAAAAATTGTTTATACAAAAGTTGTTGGTAATTATGTACGAAACAACTTTGCCATTTAAAGTTTTCCATTAAAATGATATTTTCAGGGTGAAAAAGTGAAAAAACACTTTTTTGAGACTTTAGCGCCACCTACAATGCGCATTTTTTGTTGTACGAGATTGCAGCAATGACATAAATTGTAGCAATCAACGCCCTCTACAATTATGGTCAAAAAAAGTTTCTAAAATGCATACAAAACAAGAAAAATGCGTTTCAAAAAAATTTTAACGGTTTTTTTGAGTTTTTCAAAAAACGCCTACGAGTTGAACATGCCCGTCGCCAAGGTGGCTTACTGACGTCATTTGGCAACAGAAAAAACAAGACTTACCCTTTAGGTTTTTTTTTCACTCAAACGATATTTTTTTCGACAGATTGACTGTACTAATACGTTATCAACGTTCCGATCCCAAGGTGACGCCAAGATTGATTCTGTCGCCCTTTCTCTTTAAGTTATTAATTCAATGCAATAATTTTAGACGCTTTAGAAGTGGGGCTGAAGTATCTGTAATATTTTAGTGAGCATAAAATTTTCACGTTGGCAATGTTGGAAAGTAATGATTTATTGCTCGGGCGGAGGCGGAGCCCAGTTATTTGTTTACGTATCGTATGTATGACCAATCCATTTACCAATATACTCCAAATTATGTAATGAAATGCGATTTTATGAATAATCTCAGATTAAAGTAGTAAAGTCATTAGTATGTAAAGAAAATTTTACTAGAAAATATTCCACTCGATCCGGTTTTCAGAGAGGATTCGAACTCGCATCTTCCGCTATCCGGGCACCACCTAATAAGCCCCTCTAGCATGACCACCGAAACGGGATATGATAAAGCGACATATCGACATTAACTGTCAGACTACAGTGAAGTTTGACAGTTGTGATTCGATAAAAAGCTTTATCATATCCCGTTTCGGTGGTCATGCTAGAGGGGCAGGTATCATGATATCAGGCAGTACCCTTATTACGAGTTTAAGCTCACAAAAACTATCATAGTTTTCATAATTGTAAATTATATATTGTTTTAAACTTTCATGGTCACTAACATTATAGTAATATAAGTTATTTACGGGATGGTTACCATGTACTTTGTTTTTAGTAACTGGTTACACCGTGATCATGACGCTTGCAACAGTGCCGAAGTATCGGAAACTCGTTAAAAACAAGGTACATGGTAACAATCCCATAAATAACTTATATTACTATGTTGTAAATTATGTTTCTATGTCCATTTTGGTGAAAAGTAACCAAATATACATAAAATTCAAGAAGAAGCAAATGATTTAATGATAGAATTCAAATACTGTTTATTTGTATTGAAACAAAAACAATTAAATCAGTATCCTTAGTACGAGTGCGAGCTCACGAAAACTATCATAGTTTTCGTAATTGTAAAACTCTTACTAAGGGTACTGGACTCGAACCTGCCCTTCCGCTTTCCGGGCGGGCAGAGAACACAATTTTTTTTTATTACAACCAGTAGTTACTGAAATTAGTACGTTCAAAGAAATAAACAAAGTTTGTTTCTTAGGTTTTCACGTACAGTATACCACTCATTAAATTAAACAAGTTTCAACGATATAGATGCACTGATTTATTGTGTAAGTATATGTTTTATTTAACAAACAAAGTTATCAGCTTTACTTTTTTTATTTGCAAAAGGAGGATCACCACATAGGACATAGTAGGTACCTACATAGGTTCTAAGAGTTTGCAACATCCAAATTTAAAAAAAAAATAATGTTTAAACACCTGTTTAAGGGGTTATGTTTGTATTTATTCTCCGTGATATCCTTTTGTATGACAGTAAACATTGAGCACGTAATGTTTACTGTCATAAAAAAAGGATTGCTTTATAGCCTGTTTCAATAACCAAAGTCCAAGAAATAAGCCTATTAGAGCTTTGTTGCCTGGATATTTTAATTGTTTAGATTATAAATAACAACTGTTGCTATGAAAAGGAACCAGTTTAACCTTACCTTTTACTGGAGGTTGATTAAACCAGCCGTTAAATAGGAGCAAGGAATCGTTTGCTAAAAACAGCCTTAAGTCATTTAAAAAAATAGATATTTAAACTTATAGCACAGCGAAAGCGCACAGCGATATTTTGGTGTTGTTAAAACTCTTTTAAATGATAATTTTCTAGGATAGGAAGCGTGGGACAAACACAACCCAATGTTAATTTGGTCTAGATGGTTTTGATTGATTGATAGATGTTAATTGAGAATGAAAGAAATGCTTTGATATAAATGTATTATTTTCTTAAGAAACTATTAATACTATTAATGTTTAAAAACCACACTTTAATTTTGAGAAAATAAATTAAGAAAAAATTGAGTAATTCCAAAGTAATAATTAATTTCCATTCGGTTTCTTATTTGACTATAATGTCCGTTTCCGCACCACCATTGAGGTAGGACAATCGGCGCGTTTTTTTATAGTGGTATCCCCTTTAGGCCTAATCCACTCATTGCACGCAAGGTGAAATACATTACGATTAGAAACGCTCATTGTTACGGAGACTTTGGTTTAAGACACAACACACAACTACCTAATGTAAGTTCTTTCCTAAGCATAACTTGGTATTAGGTAGGTACTGACTACCTAAAATATTGCGTTTACGAGCAGTACCTACACAAGAGACGTAACTTTTAAATCGAATACTTTTACGGTTACATCCATAACTACACATATCAAAAGTTTCCAGGAATGAATATACTTAAAAATTAACTTAATAATGTTATGTACTAGATTTGGATAATACTTGTTGTCTTGTCTAACGAAAAAAACTTTTTCCCCAGACACTTTTGATAAGTATAATATTAAATGCACCATAATAAGTAACTGAATTCAAAATTATTATGAAACAGCTTTTTGAGGATTTCCTATAACAACAATTGGAACAATACACTTAAAAGTCTCTAAACATCTTGCACTTCTTCTTAACCTAAAACGTCACCGCACAGCCATCAGCACCTGTGAACAAAGCCACCACGTTATTTAAACTGAGAGGGAACAAGCTTATTATCTATCAGTCTTCTTTTTATCACAGATCGTTGTAGATGTAGTCAATTAGATATGGTGTTAACTATTTGGCACGCAGACGAGCCGCGTCCGGCTAGGACGGGCTGTCTGCGCGGACTGATGAGCCCAGATTCCCAGGCTAGGTAGCTAGGATACCTGGAAACTGGATTCTGTATTCAGGAATCAATAACTTTAACAGGACTGCCAACTTAAAATTAAAGTAATTTCAATAAATTACTTATTATATTTTAAGTTTTTAGCTAACTGCTTAAAAAATACTGCCAGTTGTTTATAAAAATCAAAGGTTCATGTTTTAAGATGGGATTCGAATCTGCATCTTCCGCTATCCGGGTGGAAATAATGTAAATATATATAAATTACGCGTCACGTTGTTTGTCCGGGATGGACTCCTAAACTACTTAACCGATTTTAATCAAAAGACAATGCCGGAAATTGGCGCCTTTATTTTCGCGCGGTCATTGACCAAACCTTGTTATTTAGGTAAAGGACAATGTAACAAACAAAACTTATTATGCCATGTATATCGCTAAACTTAGTCCGAGCTCAGTTATAAAGGTTAGAAAAGAAAAAAATATTTCTTTTTTTGCGCAGATGTTGGTCAAACCTTGTTATTTGGGTATAGACTAAAGTAACAAACAAAACTTATTATGCCATGTAAGTATGTATATCGCTTAACTCAGCCCGGACTGAGCTATATAGGTTAGAAAGAAAAACATTTTTTTTTCCGCGCTGATTTTGATCAAACCTTATTAAATCGGTATAGAATAATGTTACAAACAAAACTTAGTATGCCTATATAGCTTAACTTAATTCGAGCTGAGTTATGAAGATTAAAAGTAGATATATGTTTTTTTCGCGCGGTTGTTGAGCAAACCTTGACAAATGGGTACAAAATAACGTAATAAGCAAAACTTATTATATTTATTATAACATATGCGCGGTCTGGCTTTGTTGTTTGACTTGAGACAGAGACTACCGATACTTCCCTCTTGTTTACACTTCGTAGTCGGTTTGCCGAAATTGAGGCTATGTACTAGTGACAATGAATAGTGGCGTGAGAGCTACGGGGAGGGATGGGAAGGGGGTCCGTGTGCAGTGTGAGTCTATCTAATCGCTTTTTTTTTCAGATTGAAGATGGAAATCGAATTTGTAGCCCTTGCTTTCAAAGAGCACTGCGCTACAGTCAGCGTCGTCTGAGGCAAGAGGTACCAGCAGTTGCTGGAGCTGAACCGGCAGTAGAAGTTGAACCAGCAGTGGTAGCTGAACCAACAGTGGGAGCTGAACCAGCACTAGATGAAAATGTGGAACATGCTCTACCCGCTCAAAATGTTTTGAGATTTCCTGTGCCAGGATTCACTAGAGCGACTTTTAACACAAAGTTGTGTATTTTTCAAAATTGTAACGGCCTACAACTAACCAGAATTAATAATATTCTGAGATCCACGATTTCGCGAGATAAAAGTTTTTATATACCATTCGGCGCAAGAGTCTGTGAAGAACACCGTTTTGATCCTGCATGGAATGATATACCAGCTATTGTGCGCCATGTGTATGCCTTGTTTTCACCTCGCCAAGTAGAAGATATTTTTCAATTTTGAAAGACTCTCATGACGGTATTTTTCAATATTATATTGGATTTTCTAAGGCCCACTTTACCCAAGTCTTGGAGAGTACTCCAACTATTACAAGGGAACATCCAAAAGCAGCTACAGCTTTAGCTACTCTTTTAGTGAAGCAACATACAGGAGAACCAAACCAGAGATTATGCAGTATATTTAAAATGGCACGATCAACGTTTGAAGAAAAAATGAATAGCGTTCATAAACGCTTTGATGGATGAATTTGTGCCAAGATATATGGGATATAATCATATTACTATAGAAGAAGTTATATCGCGATGCCTGGCTATACCCAATGCTTTGTTCGGTGGCCGAGATGGAGAGGAACGAGCCATTACCATCCACGATGGCACCTATATATACCTGCAAAGAAGTACAAATTATTATTTTCAGAGAAAGTCTTACAGTCTGCATAAACGGCGGCAACTGTACAAACCCTTTCTAATGGTCTGTCCTGGCGGCCACATCATAGACATATATGGCCATTATGAAGCTACAACCTCAGACGCTACAATTTTAAATACTATGCTTGTAAATCGTCAAAATCCGTTGAATTGGTTCTATAGACCTAATGACGTGTTTATTTTGGATCGGGGTTTTAGAGATGCCGTTAGTCGGCTCGAATCTGCTGGTTACAATGTACAGATGCCAATATTGAGCACTAGAGGAACCCAGTTAAGCACAGAACAAGCGAATGAGTCAAGAAAAGTGACAATGTGTCGCTGGGTCGTAGAAACCATTAACGGCCGTCTTAAAAATCAGTTTAAACTACTAATTAACGTAGTAAATAATAGAGCCCTTGGACATTTATTTAAGGAAATTAAAATAGCAGGGGCTCTGCTCAATGCCTTTGGGCGTCCGTTGACGGATCACAGGTTAGTGGCAGACATTCTTCAACAAATAACAAGAACAGCAAATATTGAAAATCATTTGGCAGCGTACGTCATAGAGAATAATCTTAACGCTGTAAGAGCGCTTTCCAAGCTATTACAGCTGGAGTTCTAGCCGTAAACGATTTTCCCCTGTTGAGTTTGGACGACCTCATCGTTTTTGCAATGGGAACCTATCAATTGAAACAGGCCCGCAGTTACTATGGAGAACACATAAAAATAAATGGGTTTTACAGGATTGAAGTGTGTAGGGAACAACATCTACATGATCTGAGACGATATAATATTATGGGATCTAACTCATGGCTATTGAGAGGACGAATCCAGTCACGCCACAGACAAGCTAAAACTTATTACACTTACGTTTTAATAGAAGAGGGTATGCAAGGCATACAAGCGATACACGCTCATTACTGCAGCTGCGTCGTGGGTAAACGCACTCTGGGGTGTTGTTCACATACCATGTCAATTATATGGTATTTAGGGTACGGAAGACATCAAGAAAATCTAACCGCTCCCGCTATTTTACTAGATGATATAATAATTCGACACGATGTTGACAACGAAGCCGATGAATCGTTTGATGACGAATTGTAATATTATGCTGTGCAATATATTAAAAAAAATATTTTAAATATATGATAATTTTCTTTTGTATCACAGAATTTTATATGCAACTCAAACCTCGTAAAGTATTATGCGTAGGTACTGAATAATGCTTAGTAGTGTAAGTAAACGGAAAAATGAGACCATTACATGATTTTGTTTTTCTCCTGACCTTTAGAGACTGAACTCGTACCGAGTTTAGCTATATACATGCCAGAATTTGTGTATGTTACTTTATTTTGTATCCAAATAATAAGCTTGCTTAGTAACCACACAAAAAAAATGAACATTAAAGATCTTCCTTCTAACCACACCTAACCCTTCTCGAACTGTGTGTAGCGGTCGATATATATGCCATTATTTTTACATTATTTTGTAACTTACAAGGTTTGCTTATAGCCACGTCCACACAGCTCAGTCCTCAGATCAATGATATTTTTTTTAGTTTATAATCAACTCAGACTGAGTTTAAAACTATAAAATAATGTATGTGTCATAATAAGTTTTATTTGTTACGTTATTCTGTACCTAAATAACAGGATTTGGATGACAACTGAACAAAAAATCAATTCCTTTTTTCTTCTTATATTTCAGCCCAGGCTAAGTTGAACTTTAGAATACTTATATAATAAATAAACAAAACTTATATCTGATAGTCTCTGTCTCAAACAACAAAGACAGATTGATACATATATTATAATAAGTTTTATTGTATTTTTAATAAGGTTTAGTAAATATCTGCGCGCAAAAAAAATCTCTTCTAATCTATTGACTCACCTCGGACTGAGTTTAGCGATATACATGGCATAATAAGTTTTGTTGTTACGATAGTTCATACCCAAATAACAAGGTTTGACCAACATCTACGCAAAAAAAGATTTTTTTCTCTTCTAACCTTTATAAACTCAGCTCGGACTGAGTTAAGCGATATACATGGTATAATAAGTTTTGTTTGTTACATTCGTCTATACCCAAATAACAAAGTTTGACCAACATCTGTGCAAAAAAAGAAATATTTTTATTCTCTTCCAACCTTTAACTCAGCTCGGACTGAGTTTAGCGATAATAAGTTTGCGATAATAAGTCCATGGCATAATAAGTTTGGTTTGTTACGTTAATCTTTACCAAAATAACACGGTTTGATTAACATCTGCGAAAAAAAATTTTTTTTTCTATCTTTTATAACTCAGCTCAGACTGAGTTTAGCGATATACATGGCATAATAAGTTTTGTTTGTTACGTTAGTCCATACCCAAATAACAAGGTTTGACCAACACTGCGAAAAAAGAAATTTTTTTTTTCTCTTCTAACCTATAAAACTCAGCTCCGGCTGAGTTTAGCGATATACATGGCATAATAAGTTTTGTTTGTTACATTCGTCTATACCCAAATAACAAGGTTTGACCAACATCTGCGCAAAACAAAGAAATATTTTTTTTCTTTTCTAACCTTTATAACTCAGCTCGGACTGAGTTTAGCGATATTCATGGCATAATAAGTTTTGTTTGTTACGTAAATCTATACCAAAATAACAAGGTTTGACCAACATCTGCGCAAAAAAAAGAAAATTTTTTTTTTCTTCTAACCTTTATAACTCAGCTCGGACTTAGTTTAGCGATATTTAGCGTTTAGCGTTACATTGTCCTCTACCTAAATAACAAGGTTTGGTCAAAGGCCGCGCGAAAAAAAAAGGCGCCACCTTCCATACAAAATCCGGCATTGTCCTTTGCACACCGTGTGCAGTTTGATCCAACTTAAAAGGTAGGATAGCTTACATCTCAATTTATACTCGCAATATTATTTTATTGCAAATTACTACTTCTCGGCGGTACGAAGTTCGCCGAATCAGCTAGTTTAGATATAGATTTGAAGGTAGTTTTAATAATGTCTTAAGCAAATGTTTACAAAATGTCTAAACTACCACTACGGTAGCATACAGTGGCCCTGCGGAGGGCAGAGGCAGTAGAAGGATTGGAGAAGATGGAGGAGGAAAACCTCAGACTTCGCGAGAAGAATGAGAGGATGAAGTTGGAGGTGGAAGTCTTGAGGAAGGAGGTGGACTCCTTAAGGAGATTGGTGGAGGAAAGAGCACACCTTGCGGCCCCTCCAACCATACAATTGCTGCCGCTGGAGGCCGTTGAGGAGCTGAAACGCTCCCTTATGATTTCCATAGGGGAGATGGTCAGCACTCGGCTCGCCTTCATGGAGGTGAGACTCCCGCCGCCGCAGAAACTGAGGCCACCGTTGGCGGCGGACCGGCAGGGGGTCGAAAAGGACAGGGAGACGACCACAGCAGGAGGGGCCTGGAGTGCTGTGGTCAAGAAGAAGAAAAGACAAGCGAAGGTTGCAGCCCCGGGAGTGGCCCCCGTACCTGAACCGACGAGAATGCAGGCACCGGCGCAGAAGGCGCAGCAACCGGATGGCGGGAGACCGAGGCTGAAGGTGCCGAGCACTGCGGCGGTGGCCATCAGCCTGACGGCTGGCGCGAAGAAGGATGGGGTCACCTACTCCAAGGTGATGGAGACCGCCAAGGGGAAGATCCTAAGAGGTGGCATAACAACAGTCTTTAATTCAGAACCGACTTGGTCAACCCCGACATGCCGTGGTCTTGGTCTGCCCTACTCCTAGAGTGTTTTTTAGAGCCCGGAGGCGCGGAGGGAGAGCAGCCCCCGCCTGCTGTGACAAAGCCGCAAGAATCGTGCGACCCGTAGCGCCTGAGGCCGCCGGAGGTGGCGACCAACAAGCCGAAGGTGTGAAGGGGAGTGATGCTTGTGGCTTTATCACGCAAAGGCGGAGGGGCTGCTATTTCCGCAGCGCCGGAGATAAGGCAGAAGTACAAGTTCTGACTTCCCTAGTCCTTGCATCCTAAAAAATAGGGAACCATAAATTATGAACATTTAACAGATTTAATGAATTTTTCAAATTAACTGCATTGAAACTACTATAGACTAAAGTTTCTAAATGTAGCCCTTCGTAAACTGATCGAAGTAAAACCGAAGTCTGATTATTTAAATTTAAAAAAATTAAATATAAACTATAAAACATGTTTTTATTATTACTCTACCCGATAATTGATTTCATTACTTGTAATGCTCGGTTTATTTAACTAAGTATTCATTAGAAAGTATTAACATGCTTTACATCACTCTGCCCAATAGGCACTTGGCATTATTCATAATGCCCGGGCAATGTGATAAATTGATTGGTTATAATCACATTGCATTCATTATTAATAATCAATGAATCGGGCATTATTAATAATGCCCGATTAATCACTTAGCCCATAACATATACATGCCGTATCTTTCAACGCGCTCATAAAATGATATCTCCAATCTAATACATTGTACCTCTTTCCGTCATAGTCTACACACACTAGTATATTATAAAGGCGAAAGTTTGTGTATGTGTGTTTGATACTTCTTCACGTCTAGACGGCTGGAGCGATTTTAATAAAATTTGGTATGGAGTTAACTGACACCCTGGATAAACACAGAGGCTACGTTTTACTGCGGGAAAATATCCCTAATAAACCGTGGGTAACACCGCCGGGCACAGCTAGTAGACATATATATGGTAGTCGTCAAGTTGAAATTTTTTTTTACCATTTAACTGTTAGGTATTATAATATGTTTAAATTTAAAAAAATATTTACAGAATAAAAATCCACTCCATTCCGCCCGGATAACAGAACATGCGGGTTCGAAACCCGTCTGAAACCTGCAGTGTATGAACAAACTCAATTTTCATCGTGGAATTCGCCGGTGAGATTTGAAATTAATTTAAAATTCTTATTCTGATTTTAAATCACACCGTGGATTCCGTGGTGAAAAGAGAGTTTTAACCCAAGAGACAGATATCGTGGATAACTTGATCGTTATGCAAAATTTTGCTGCACTCTAGTTTCTTTACAGATGTTAGGGTAGGTCGTAAGAAGCTTAAGTTTAAAAATCGGGGAATGTGATCACATCTGGCCGCCATCGCCATATTGGAAAACGCGGTTATCGCTATATCTCCGAAATGATTTACTTTACGGAAAAAAATATAGATGATTTTTTGTTTATTACTAAATTTCCTATCATTTTTTGGCTTAAACTTTTCATTGTAACTTACTGTTTTTCAATTATTGTTGTTTATTTGAACATATTTGTAGTTTTTTCATTATAAAACCTTGAAATGTCCTTAATTGATAAAAAACGTCTTATAAAAGTAAAATTCGTCATTTAATTCCCTACCTATCCGTAAAAAAGCTAGATCGCGAAAAAAAAATGGATTTACTCAAAGCAATGGCTTTAATATGAGATAATGCATAAAATTGCTTTTCATTTAATAATGTGGATTGGTCATACTTACCACCATAGGTAGGTGCGCATAGTAATAACGAGGCTTCGCCAACGCCCGAGCAAATAAATCATTACTTTCCAACATTGCCAACGTAAAAATTTTATGCTCTCGAAAATATTACAGACAGTTCCGCTTATTTTCCTGGCTGTTTGAAAGCGGATTTTTTCCCCCTGTACCCTCAAGGGAACAAACATGGGTATACAGGAAAATAGCAGCGCCACTTCAAGAGCTCCTGAAATTATAACATTGGTGTAAAAACTGAAAAGAAAGAAGCCAAAATCTTAACCCCTGTCAACTTTAACATTCGCGTTACCTTGGGATCGGAACGTTGATAATGTAACAAAAGAAACCATCTGGCTATCTAATTTCGATAATTCGTATTTGTGATAATTGCCAACTACCAACTGCTTCAACAATTATTACAAGATTTCGCCATTTAACAATGTAATGTATATTCAAATAAAGTTTAAAAATTTAAATTACCGAAGCTTCGACAGTAAGAAGGATTTAAAGTCCTTGGTCCGGAATGTGTGAATGAATGTCTGAACCCATCGGAAGAAAGAGCTCCGTGAAAGTTTTACATTCTCATAATTCCGAATTAAGTGTTCTGTGCATTGTCCCATGACGATTGCAGAACACTTAATTCGGAATTATGAGAATGTAAAACTTTCACGGAGCTCTTTCTTCCGATGGGTTCAGACATTCATTCACACATTCCGGACCAAGGACTTTAAATCCTTCTTACTGTCGAAGCTTCGGTAATTTAAATTTTTAAACTTTATTTGAATATACATTACATTGTTAAATGGCGAAATCTTGTAATAATTGTTGAAGCAGTTGGTAGTTGGCAATTATCACA